TTCCAGACTCTGCCGATTTTAAATACCACTCAAATGCTTTTTGTTCATCTTTGATTGTTCCTTCTTTTTTATTTATATTTAATGCATCTGGAATAGATGAAGATGACAATATTAAAGTCCGTCCCAATTGATCATTGGTGTTATTTGTTGATGGAATAGATGGAGACGAAGACGTTGTAAGCACATCTATTTTTTCGATTTCTTTGATCTCTAACTTTTTGTTGATACTTTTGGACATTTATCAATATTACTAAGTATGAAATTAAGACGAAATTAGCAGTCAATCCCCCGTTAAAACTGAGGTAGTAGAAAATTCAGGTGTTCTTGAATCAACTTATATTTATCTAAGCCAATTTTGTTTCGGGAGTTCAACTGTATACGTACGTACTGTATGTACATGTACATTTATAAAGAAACCATTTGTCGTTAGATTGCTCTGTCACAGATACATGTACATAACGATAACGATAACGATAACGATGACGATAACGATAATGCGTGATTAGCACCAATCCGGTAATGGTAACGGTAAATCATAAACCGAGTTTGTCAAACCAACATCTGGGTATGTCGACACTTTATTTGCCATTCAAGAATAAATAATATAATAATAAAAGTTAACATTAGATTCTTTGAACTGAACTTTTGGACTTTTGGAACTTCCGGAATTTAATCCGAGTTTAGTTGGATTTTTTGGACCAGTTCAATTGAGCCCAGTTCCAATATAATTGTTTCGTTTATCTAAATAAGTATTTTGAAAAAAGATATGAATATGATAGAACTTTTAATTTTAATTATCGTTCCATGAAGTTTTATAATCAATCTTTGTTGAATAATCCAGTTCATAACATGCCTCAAGATTTCCATATTTTGATAGTAATGAAAAGCCTTGAATCAATTTTTTTCCTTTCAAAATCCATGAGCACCTTATTACAATCCGTTTGTTTGCCTCGGTTTCATCTTTAATTGTTAGCATAAATAAGCAGCCATTGTTTGCCAATTTGGAAACGATATACTATTACTTTTATTTTTTTATACTGCTATACATTCTGCTCCATTTGTTAATCAAAGAAACAATTTATGAACAGTTTTTGCTCCAGTTCCATACTATAAGATAGGATTTCCTAATTAAATATTGTGTGTAAACATCCTTCTTATTTTTCGTGCCGTGTTTTGCCGCATAGACCACCTCTCCCCTCCTTTTGGAGAAAATTCAAATCATAATTTGATAATTTCTTAGTATACCAATTATGCTCCTGCAAAATGAATAATTAAATACTGTACTAATTAATAGTCTTGAAGTTTAAATTTTCTCCAAAATGGGGAGAGATATTGTTTATGCGGAAAGGTACGGTATATTTGAAAAGATAAAGCATTGAAGAAACTTTTATTTTTGACATTTTGTCATTGTTTATTGGTAATTTGTAATTGGTTTGGGAATCGATGAATATTGTAGATTGATAATAAGAGATGACATAAATTTTTGATAATGAATTGGTTAGAAAAGTATTTGGCAGAAAATAGCTGCAGTTTTAAGGGTTTAGATAAATGCCAATTGATGTTTGCAATGCTTTAAGTGTTAAACTATCGAGTGAAAGCCTGAAGAATTTCAAAAAAAAATTGAAATTGATTTATATGTATCTACGTAAAACCCAAATAATCTATAAATATACAAGCGATCAGGTGTCGTATTAAATTTAAAGTCCAAATCGTAAATATTTTATTAAAAAAGCAATTCCTCAAATACCACGAGTACTTTAAAGACGCGTTGGTAGTTCGAATAAGAAAAAGTGCAGCAATCAATAACAATATATCCAAAGAAGGGTTGAAGAAAAGCAAAGATATTAAGAAAAAGCAATGACCAACTAATATCTTAATCTTGAAAAATCATGCGATGGAAATAATGCATAACAACGAAGGACCTGAAATGGTATATTACAAAATATTCGAAGAAATACGAAAGCAACTCGGATGACAAAAACCAACTTTTGTCCTTTGCGTTCTTTACAACGAGAAAGAAATCATTCTTTCACAAAGAAAAGGGAAGTTGAGATACCGACGAGACAGGCTATCCAAGAGACAAGAGAAGAAACAGGACTCGTTGTGAAACCAAGAATATCTCTTAACAGACTCACGATATGAAATGGTTACGAGGTATTTATTGCTGAAACAACAGAAGAAACAATAACGTACGTACGAAAGAAAAAAATAACCCCGGACTCTTGCAATGTTTAACGAATATTCTTTGCTAAGCAACTATCATTAAAAAACGCCAACAAATGCTCTTTTCGCGTCAGAAATTCTACACGTCGTATACTAAAAATAAACGACAAGGCAAATAAACGACTTGACGAATTCCAACGAGCGTGTGCAACAACTTGAATATATTCAAGAATACTGAAAAATCCGCTAGCATTAATGATCACTATTAAATTTCTTCAGGATAATTATCAAACATAAAAACTATTGATAAAGAAAGAGTAAAACTCCGAACTGTTTGTTATAAGCAGATATAAGCTTCATAACTGTAGCCATAACAGCAACTCGCACCTAAGCATCACCAGGAAATATCGTTATAATCCTCATACGGTCCTTCGCAATAACTATATTGGTCATAATACTACTCTTTATTACTACCATATTCTTCTCATACAGTGTAGGACACTTAAAGATGCCAATCATGTGACTTGTACCATTTTTGGGGTTCCTTAATGAGCAAATTGGAGTAATTTAAATAGTAAAAAACCAGTTTTCTTGATTTTCTTTGCCATGTTTATAATATATCACCTTATTGGGATAAACTTTGTCGAAAGCTCTTGCTCAGACACAACTGGTAAACACTTTTCATAATAAGATTTGCGAACTGGAAAATAAAAGGTATGCCAATTTCGATTATTTTCCAAAAGGCTCTTTGAGAGACTTTAGACGAAAAATTCAAATTAAATTGATCGACATCACATGTTCAATTTTACATGTGACAAATCGTGTGACTGATATTGAAAATAGTTGCACGAAAGCAAGTTTTTACATTTGCCATGTTCTTTACAAGTAAAAATAACAATAATGATAAGATGTTCTCATTGGTTTATTCTTTTTGATAATTTTTGTTACACTATTTATGCATGATTGATCGATTCTCAAATTCTGAGAATCGATTTTCTTGATTCTATAAAAGCAATCGATTCCTCCAACAAAGTATCCATTTGTACTTGATTTAGTTGACATCACATTTGCTATAAGTAATACATATTTTTTATTAAAATTTCAATAAATTTGAACGTATGGTGTAAACGATCTAGCTACACCAACATTCTCTGGACTTTTAAAGAGTATATTTCATTAATAAAGAATTATGTGAATAAATCCCTCTGTAAGTTTATAAATTTGAATCAGACAAATAAAATTACAGAGGGATTTATTCACATAATTCTCTATTAATGAATTATATATACTCTTTAAAAGTCCAGAGAATGTTTGGTGTAGCTAGATCGTTTATACCATACGTTCAAATTTCATTCGGATTTACTACTTATTTGGATTTGATTTAATTTTTTGTTACATGATAAATTAAGACATTCATATATAACTTCCAAGTAGGGACAGGAATCGATTCTCAACCCAGAATCGATTCTAAAATCGATTAATAATATCGATTAATCGATTAATCGTTTAAATAAATTCGATTAATCGATTTTCAATTTGAGAATCGATTCTCAAATTTTAATCGATTAAAATTTTAATCGATTCTCAAATTTTAATCGATTCTCAAATTTTAATCGATTCTCAAATTTTAATCGATTAAAATTTTAATCGATTCTCAAATTGTAATTGATTCTCAAATTGTAATCGATTCTATAAAATTAATCGATTCTCAAATTGTAATCGATTCTGTAAAATTAATTGATTCTAGAGAATCGATTCTCAAATAGGTCATATTACGTATTTTTTTTAAATATACTAAGAGTCGAAATACATAGTTCAGGAATTTATTATTAATCAATTTTTATTTATTAGAATTAGGAAAAATTTGTACAAATTCTCGGTTTCTTTTAATAAACATAATTTGTTCTATCAAATGGCTATTTAATCGATTTCGCTCAGGTGTAATTAAGTTTCCCACATCTGAAAATAGACACTCAGATGGAACTGATGTGGCAGGAATTGTCAAATATTTACGTGCAAGTTGTGAAAGAATTGGATATTCAGATTTATTTGCTCTCCACCAAATTATTGGATCATTTTTCTCCAAAGCTGGAAGCTCTGGGATTTCCAGATATTTTTCAAATTCCCCTTTTACTGATGGACGAATAACAGCATTCTTTTTAGCAAATAATGCTCCCATTACTGATGATTCTTCTTGACTGGTAATTTGTGATATAGTTGAATTGGTATCTGAAACTGAGTGCAAAACTTCATATTTAATTCGAATTTGTTGAATATATGCTGCACACTCATTCTATAAATGCAAAAAATAAAAAAATTATATATGATTAAAATACATACTCCAAAAATAAATGATAATTAATTTTTATTTTATTATATAAACATGATATCTTGTGATCCAGTAACCAGATTCAAGTGAAAATACTATTACTCAATTCGTCTTGATTAGACAAACAAAATGATAGCATTTCACTTGAATCCCGTTGCTGAATCACAAGATATCAAGTTTACATGATTTTATTGTTTAAACATAATATCTCGTGATTCAGTAATTAGATTCAAGTGAAATACCATCATTTTATTCATCTAATCAAGACAAATTGAATAATTATAATTTTACTTGAATTCAGTCACTGGATTATGAAATATCGCGTTTAAATGATAAAATTGTTTAGACACAATATCTCATGATTTAGCAAATAGTTTTTGAGTGAAAATACTATTACTTAATTCATATTAATTAGACAAATCAAATGATAGCATTACAAGATATCACATTTGAAAGTGAATATATTATAAAAAATAATTATCTCTGAAATGAAACTTAAATCTTTAAATCATAGATCAAAGAATGAATCATATATTCCCAGCTCATGAGGTAATTCCCATCTGGACTTCATATCATCTTGGATAATATCTTTAACATTGTTGGCCATTCGATCATTAAGATTAGAAAAATCATTTGGTAATCTATTCAGTAATCCAATCATAACTGGATACATTATTCCAAGAGTAGCAAACTTGGAACCACTCATTAAACGAGTTGCTTGTTCAAAAGGTTCAAGAAGTGGTATAAGTTTTTCAATTGTATGCCATTCAAGACTGGTTGGAATTAATGACTGTAATATAGTATTTTCTTTTTGAATATTGATTTTGTTATCTTCAAATAAAGTGTTTTTTAATATAATAATTGCTTGTTTTAAAACTAGTAGTCTTTTAAAAGCATAAAATGTTGAATTTCATTGTGTATTATTTGCCTTAATAACATCTAAGATTGGTGTTTCATCTTGTTGAATATTAATATCTTCTGAAATATTTGTTGAAATATATTATTAGATGATGATTGAGAATGTTGTTGTTGAAGATATAATTGTACCTCTTTAAGTTGTTGTCTTTTTTTATCTCCTGCCAAAAATCTAATAAAATTTTTGCATTTTTCTATAATATCTTTTATTTTATCTAATCCTTTAATAATACTAAGTTATAATATATGAGTTGCACAAGAAACATGAGTTCCAACTCCGAGATTTCTAATTGCTTTTTTCACATTAGCAGCATTATCAGTTGTAATAGATAAGACTTTAAACTCTAAATTCCATATATTAAGCAAGTTTTTCATATATTCTACTATTTGAGAAGCTTCATGTGGATATGGTAACTCTCCAATAGTTAGGAGAATTTTTTTGTATTCGAAATTTAATGACAACCAATGACAAGTAACTCCTAAATAAGATAGATGTGCTTTAGAATTCCAGAAATCCAAAGTAAGTGCAACATATTCAGCACTGTTGTTGATTTCTTCTTTTACTTGATCATATGTATAGTGATATGTGAAATCAATTTCATCTTTTAATATTTTTGTAACTGAAACTTTATATTTGGAATCTAATTTTTTACAAAAGTTAAGAAAATCAGGAGCTTTAACTAATTGAAGAGATTGAACAGTTCCCACAATAAATTTTACTAAATATTGATTGATTTCCTTTTGTTGTTTGGTACTATAAGGTACTTTTATTGTATTGCTTATAATTTTTGGTAACAATATCTGAGTCATGGATGATATAGAGCTTTGTTGTTTTTCAATGACAGTTTTTGTAATATAATGAACACTTGAAAGATGTGTTTTCATAGTAGAAGTGGTTTTGTGATAAGTGAATGTTTTTCCACATTCTGGTACTTGACAAATAGTAGTATCAGAAGCTGTTTGTTTAAAGTAATTCCATACATAACTGGTTTTTGGTTTAGTTTTCAGTTCATGTTTTCTTTTTGTTGGAATAGTT